TCCCCCCTTCCCTCAGACACCTTTACCCAGGTAAGGATCCCCCCTCTTCCCTCAGACACCTTTGCCCAGGTAAGGATCCCCCCTTCCCTGAGACACCTTTGCCAAGGTAAGCATTCCCTCTGCCCTCAGACACCTTTGCCAGGTAAGGATTCCCTCTTCCCTCAGACACCTTTGCCCAGGTAAAGATTCCCCCCTTCCCTCAGACACCTTTGCCCAGGTAAGGATTCCCCCTCTGCCCTCAGACACCTTTGCCAGGTAATGATTTCCACTTTCCCTCAGACACCTTTGCCAGGTAAGGATCCCCCCTCTGCCCTCAGACACCTTTGCCAAGGTAAGGATTCCCTCTGCCCTCAGACACCTTTGCCAGGTAAGGATTCCCTCTTCCCTCAGACACCTTTGCCCAGGTAAGGATTCCCACCTTCCCTCAGACACCTCAGGTTGCATCCCTGATCCATCTCTGTGCTGTCCAGAAGCTACAGGGACTGGAGATATTTTTTAGGTGGAACCCTAAAATATTTTTATTTTTATATATTTTATATTTTTATTCTGGAACCCCAGAGCTGTGTCTCAGTTTGCAGGAATGGGTTGCATTCCAGCCCTGCTCCTCCTTGGAGTGATTTTATGGTCCCTGAGGTGACCCCTCTGGTGGATCCACCGCTGTGTTTGAACCCTGGTCACCAGTTAAACGTGTCACAGTAACGTGGCCTTGAAAGATGTCTGTAGTGGCTTTGGAATCATGGAATACCCTGAGCTGGAAGGGACCCACAAGGATCATTCATCCAACCTTGTCCTGAGATCCACCCTGACCCTGCCCTGGCCCAGCTCCAGCCGTTCCCTGGGGCCTGTCCCTGCTCACAGAGGAAAGAAATCAGTTTTTAACAGGACTCTTACATCCTCTGGCCTGAGAACCTGGAGCTCCATCCACATCCCAGCTCTGCAGGGGCACGAAGGACTTACCTACCTCACAAGTCTTTTTTTTTTTGCACGATGAAACAATTCTAGGAATAAATCCAGTGCGTGTTTATGCAAATTTCCTTTGCCAGTGGATAAACTCCACGCTGAAGGCTCCCCCGGCCTGTAGAGCACAGTTTGGGAGGAGAATAATCAAAGGGGGATGGCTGACAGAGCTGAAACACTACTTTTTTGGGCTCTTTTTGAGCCAGCAGAGCCCTTCAGGTGTTGCATCCCGGGTGCTCTGAGGCTGTTTGCCCACCTGGGGGCCTCCGAGGAGCACAGGCTCCACAGGCTTTCCAGCCTGGAAACACCACCCGCACTTCCATCCTCTGGAAACAGTTCTGAATATTGGCTGGTACCGTTTTCTAGGTTTTGCAACAAAGCAGTTTTTGCTTTTTGTGCTGTTTCTGATTTAACTGGGCTGGGTTAGTGTTAAATAATATTCCTTGGGAGTGAAATCCCTTCCTTTTAGAGCTCCACTCTGGGTTTTTCCCTCCTTCCCCCAACTCTGCTGACCCAGCCATGTTTCTGGAGAGCAAATTCTTTTCTCCCTTGAAATATGAACATTATATTTTAAAAGAAGGAATTATTTCTCCTCCCTTCACAAAACTGCTTCATTTTACCACATGTAAGATACTGACAAAAGGCATCATTTTTTTTTTGCACTCGGATCAGTTTAACGTGCTCCTGCTTGATTTTCACCCCACTGGGAATCAAGTGGGAAGTTAAAACTCCTCATTCTGGGATCTCTGAGCAGCTCCTGGTGGTGCTGGTGCTTTTTGGCAGGTTCTGGGGTGACCAGGGCAGGGACTGAGCTGTCACTTTGTGGAGAGCTCAGGTTTTCTGAGGGAAATGCTTTAGGCCTCTTGCTTTAGGCCTTCCTCCCAACATTTCTGCCACGTCCTCTTGCACTGCCCAAAAGTGAGTAAGAGGCAGAAAGGACCTGATGGAACATTTTCATGCCACGGAGGGATCGTTCCAAAGGGATTTGCTGAGCTGGGTGCACACCTGGGTTTCCTGGGCTGAGCTGTTGCAATATTTCTGCTTCTTGCCTGTCCTGTAGCTGGAATTCTCACAGCTGTGGTTTGGGCAGGACTTTGGCACTAGAGAACTGCACTGTTCTGATCTGGATGTAGAATAACCTGTGTTTGCAGCTTTCTTTTGCTGAATCCTTCGAGTGACTCGACAGACCCCAAGTTCTGTGCTGCTGAGGCAGAGCAGTGCAGCCTCCTGCTGCCCCAGCTTTGCTGCTCTGCTGATTTTTCTCTTTTTACCTCGCTGGGAAAAGGAGAGGAGGGGGAATCATTGACATCTGAGCTGCTGGGGGAGGGCAGGGAGCACAGCAGGGATAACCTGGGTATGGATGGGGCCAACCTGCCCAGCTGGGCTCTGTCTCTCACCTGCCTGGTGAACGAGCAGCGTGAAGAAAAGGGGTTCACAGTGAGGGGGGCCGTGTTTCTCCAGGGCTTTCAGCTGACCCCCATCCCCTGGTTTGTCCCTCCCTGTGTTGCAGGAAGCTCCGAGCCACGCTGGATGAGTACACCACCCGGGTGGGGCAGCAGGCCATCGTGCTCTGCATCTCACCCTCCAAACCCAACCCTGTCTTCAAAGTGTTCGGGGCCGCGCCCTTGGAGAACGTGGTAGGTGTCTCCAGGGAAGTTGGGTGATGTGACTTCCTCGCCTTCTCTGCGGGTTTTGCTCTGCTCAGGGCAGCCTTGCAAGCATGGAAGTCGTGTTTAGAACCCTGGGAACAGGAGTTTAGGTTTTATGGGCAGTGGTGGACCTGGCAGGGTCAGGTTGTGGTTGGGCTCGGTGATCTCAGAGGCCTTTTCCAACCTCAGTGGTTCTGTGACACGAGGACACACTGAGGTCCTCCCTGCTCTGCGTGAGTGGTGGCCTGGCACATCTCACCAGCTGAACATCCTGGAGTAAACAGGAGAGGGAGCAGGTAGTGATCACA